CTAATTAAACAGATCGATTAATTAATGTTTCAATTTCCCAAGAGCTAAAAATTACACAAAAAGCTGTTTGAAACTATTTAAATAAGTCTGGAAAGAAGCTTCATGAAGCACACGAGGTGCTACACAAGTTAACGCAAAAAAAAACTCAGGTATCAAATTTCCATCTATGAATAGCTGCTGCATCAAGCGAAAACGATCGTGGTCGAATCGCGGTGAGCCAGCTGAAACGGTGAACAATCTATTATTGATGGCCAGGAAGGTTTTGCTGTGTATTTTATGGGATTGGCAGGGAATGATCTACAATCATGATTTACCTTCCTACGGCAAAACTCTTAAGTATCAACAATTGGACATTCTGACGAAAGTAATCGCCCAGAAACGGCCAACATTGGGCCATAGGAGAGGAATTGCATTCCATCAGGACAACACCAAGCCACACACATCAATATCAAGAATCCGAGAATTTGGTTGGGAAGTTTCTATACATCCGCCTTTTAGTTTAGATCTGGTGTCAAGTGATTACCATCTCTTCCTAACATATTCTAAAGATGATTATTGGGCAAACCCCAAAGCATTCGCTCTGATCTGATAGCAAAAGCTGTTAAAAATATTTTGTGTCTAATATAGGAAGGATCCTTTTTTTTCTTTTTGTTTTTCTTTTTTTTTAACGTAGACTTTAAATTCATACAGTTTTTCGAACGATACTTCTAATACATTATATATTGGGGCATAAGGTTGAAAGAAACTAACACCTAAGATTATCCTAGAGCATCATACTCATACTTTAAATCATTCGCAAACTTTCTTATACTTGTAGATATCTTGAGACTTTTCAGAAAGCGAAACCCGAGAAGGCAACTTTCCAATACTTTAGAAGTCCTTATCAAGTCCTACTCAAGTTAAAAAACGTTGTAAAGCGTTGTGCTATAGACAAAATAAAAATCGCTGTTAATTCTGCATTTATATGTGCTCGTTATTATTTTTGTCCTCGTACTCTTATTAAGTATTTGCTTTTTATGTTATTTTTGCTTTTAATCCGAATAAATAATTTTTCTATAAATATAAATTTAAACAAAATAGCATGTAAACAATGGATTGTTAGGTTTTAGGTTTTTCGATGATTTTACTAATATTTGCTAAAACTACTAGAATTGTAAATAAAGTACTTTCTTTTTGATATGTTAAGAATTCCAAGTCATATCAATAACAAGTCAATTGTATATACTTATTTATATTGCGGGGAATATAACAATTAAAAATGTGTAATAACCAGAATGAGGTCAAATAGTCGTTACCAGTGTTACAACTATTAACGGAATATGTTAACGAACGCGCAGAAAAATAAAAGTTGCGAGTTATTTTTAAAATATATATAGACTTGGGTTTATAGAAATATAAAGAAAATAAAAAAATTTAATAGAAGTAGTAAGCAAAATCCTCAAATCGTCATTTACTAAAATAGCAAAAAAAGAAATAAAAATGCAATTATTACAAAGGGGACTTACTCACTATACTTATTTTTATTGAAAGGTAATTTCAAAACATAAGCCTTCATTTATATTAGTTATGAGGTAAACCCCCTCAATTTACGCACGCATGCAGTTAGTTCTAAAATTAGTTAAAATATACATTAAAATAAACCAAATCCAAAGAATCAGCCTGAAAATTTTATATAATAATTTAATATATTTGAAAATAAGATCAATTTTAGATTGCAAAGGATCTGGGGCTTTCACTACCCAGTGTTCTTCATATGAAAATTTGTTAATATTTTCAGTTCCATAATACTAGCTTAATTTGTTATATAATATTGTTTACATATATACATATACAATATCATCTAAATACCATTATGAAAAATAACTGTTTACCTTATATGTTGTCATATGACCAATTTTTCTTATTCCAACAAAATTCAATATAGATTATTGAAAAATCTATGTCAGTAGTTTTCAACCTTTTTTTGACCAAGGACAACTACGATATTTTTATTTTCAGTAGGACCCAGAAATTTTGAGAATAGTAAACTGTATAATTATTTTAATATGCTTTATGCATCTCTGGTATAATGTATAATGAAATGTATAAGTGCATAGATACATTAAATGAGCTATAAAATAAATATATAATTCCTTTTTTTTTTGTTTATTTTCTAAAAAGTGAGAATTCAGTAAACAAACTAAAAGCTATGTATCCATATCTGTTAAATTTGATTCACGGTCCATTTTTAACCATCTCGCGGACCAACGGTTAGGAACCACTGATCTATGTATATTCAAAATTATATCTTTATGAAAAATTTAATTGTTCTAGTTTTAATTGAAATTGAATCTACTTAACTATGTCTATTACTTTTGGTTTTATTGCTTTATCCATTTCAACGTATATATATGTTAGTATATATTTAGAAGCTAGAACTGCCTTATAAACTTTATAAAACCATAAATTAAATTAATTACTTTTTGCATGTGAACGAACATAGAACCTGAACTTTATTATTTAAACAGCAATATCGTTCCAAAAATAATTCACTTCTTTTAATTCGTGCTCCACAGTTCTATATAAGTCACAATTTACGCACTGGGTCACCTAGAATCTTTTACCGCAGTAACTGTACCGTAATATTGTACTTTAGACTTTTAATAGTGTGCCCTAACCAACCCCATTTGCATTTGTGAATTTCTTCTGCTGATGCAATTTTGCTTGAGAAACGAAACTTTTCCAAATGCCTTTACTTCATGCGCTTCTTCTGTCCAAGTCATCAAAAACGGTAATTGCTTTCTCAATCTAAGCAATCCACTGGAGACACGATCTTACTCTACGTTATAGCTGTGTACTTCAATGGCTAAATCACATCGTTTAGAGGTTTTGGTCTAACGCCGCGCTTCTTACCAGGCGGCGTTACTTCATGAGCTCCTTCTCCTCTGTCAATCATCCGAGAGTGGAAATCTCTCAATCGAATTACTCCATCGAAGGTTTGCGTTTTTCATTTTTGAATGTCACTTCAAAACAACTTTTTCGCTAAAGCTAAAGTCTTTTATCCTTACGACCTATTCTAATCAGCAAATCATAGTAATATCTTAGACAAACATACGCATCCCATATACAGCTTGGATATGGTAGATTTCGCCAACTTGTAGATGACCAAATTGTAAAGAACTTGTACAATTTTAAGCTTAGGTAGAATTAGTTTGCTTGTAGATCGATAAAGTACTCTTCATTTCAGTTCCCTCGCTTAAAGATCCCCTTCATCTACCTCCTTCCCTTTAATCCACGCCCATGCTTTCTGGTTTAGATAATTCTAGACTTCTATGTCTTGATATTTTTTCTTAATTTCACATCTCACTCCTAATTACTGAAAAAGCGTTTCCCACACACCCGCAAATCGTCACCATCCATTCCAAAAAAGTTGTTTTACTTATAGTTAAGGATTACAGTTAAGAGTTGTATATTGAGAAAATTTTAGGATTTATTGGCAATGGCAATGTCTTTAATTACAACATTTGTAGCTTTATTTGATAAAAAAAAATTGCATAAACTTTCATTTTAAATTCCAGTCTATTCACAGTAACATCAATTGACGAAAAAACTTCATAAATATTTTTTAAACATTTTCTTCTTTCTTTGCTATTAATCATTTGTTATTAGTCATGAGGATAAATTTTTAATGACTTCAAAATATGGACTACATCGAATGCTTATCATTAAATTCAGTGAATCTTTTAAATAACCAGACTCAGCTCTGTTCTCCACATTCATCAATCCGGTCAATAATTTTATTTGATAAACTCACTTCATGAATGACAATATCAATACATTTTCTACACAGTAGAATGTCATCTTCACGTATTAGCCCTTTTCTTTAAGTATTTCGCTTTGCTCTCATTCTTCACCAGCAGCGCTATATTCATTCCATTTCATTACCCACATGCCATACTTCATACACAAAATAAAAAAAAAAATATTTTACGAAAAAAAATTATACAAGAAATGATAAAGTAAAGTTGGCCACAATACTTCAGATTCTCACAGCGCACTGACCAGGCTGAGCTACGTGCATATGTGAATATGTTTGCGCTGGATAAAAATTTTTAAGTTTCACTGTCATAAGCACGCATGTAAGTTTCAAGTCAAGTCGCTCCAACATTGATTTCGTTCAATGCTGCTGCCTTCTAGCCCTCAGGGCTCTCTCAGCAATTTTCGTTTCTGCCACCGCCACTGCCGCTGCTGCTGTTGCTGCTGCAGTTGTTACTGTCCGTCATCAATATAACATGCCGTTTACAACATGCACTAAACCAACGAGATGGTAAATTTATAAAAACAAAATATAAACAACAAAAACAAAAACAACAACTAAAACAGTATTTACGTAAACCAAATTCCTGCACCATTTACATTCGCTAAGGTACAACACTACACAACCAACCATAACCATTCTTAAGTTCCTTAAAAATGTAAGCAATAACAACAACATCAACAACAGCAACAACAACAACAACAAATAATAATAATCAAAAACAATAACAACAATGAACTTGTTTATAACGTGGCTTAGTAGTAGCTGAGTTCGTTAAAGGTTTCTCTCGATCGTTTGCTACACTCAATCGATTGTGGTCATAAATGCTGTAATAATATACAACAGCAACGAAATCCACAACAGTATAGCAGCTACAGTAACAGCAACAGCAACAGCAATAGCAACTGCAAAAACAAAAACAAAAACAACAACGGAATTTTTCTGAAAAGAAATTCCATTGCAAACAAAAGACACATGCGCGAGCTCGCGGTGTTAAGGTAAACAATTCAAACTTCTTTATATTATACTCGTATATGCTTATAACTCTCACAACTTCACCATAGATTTATATTTGATTTTTTTACGGTTCAATTCGCT